AGGCTGAGGTGAGTGGATTGCCTGAGCCTGCGGCTTCGAGACCCGCCTGGGCAACTTGGCAAGACCTCCTCTCTACAATAAATAAAAAACCAGCTGGGCGTGGTAGCGTGTGCCTGTAATTCCGGCTACTCAGTAGGCTGAGGCGGAAGGTTTGCTGGAGCCCAGTGGGTCGAGGCTGCGGTGGCCAGGAGCGGCCACTGCACTCCAGTCTAGGTGACGGAGTGAAACTCCAACTCAAAAATAAATAAATAAATAAAAAAGAAAGCCGGGCTTGGTGGCTCAGCCTGTAATCCCTCGCCTTTGGGAGGCTGAGGTGAATGGATTGCCTGAGCCTGTGGGTTCGAGACCCGCCCGGGCAGGCAAGACCTCATCTCTACAATAAAATCAAAAAATTAGCCGAGCGTGGTAACATACGCCTGTAATTCCAGCTACTCAGAAGGCTGAGGCGGAAGGATCGCCGGAGCCCAGCAGGTCGAGGCTGCAGTGGCCGGGAGCGGCCACTGCACTCCAGTGTGGGTGACAGAGAGACTCCAACTCAAAAAATAAATAAATAAATAAAAATAAAAAAGAATAAAATAAAGGAGGGAAAGAATCCAGGCATGGTGGCTCACACCTGTAATCCCAGCACTTTGTGAGGTGGAGGCGAGAGCATTTCCAGAGCTCAGGGGTTTGAGACCATCCTGGGCAACTTGTCTAGACCTCATCTCAACAATAAAAGTCAAAAAATTAAGCTGGGTCTGAGAGTGCGCACCTGTAGATCTGGCTACTTGGAAGGCTGAGGCAGAAGGATTGCCTGGGCCCAGCAGGTCGAGGCTGCAGTGATTGTGAGCATGCCACTGCACTCCAACCTGGGCAACAGAGTGAGACTCTCACTCAAAAAAATAAAATAAAGGAGGGAAAGAAAGGACTTAATAATTTAGGGTAGCCATTTCTCTGCATAACCACCATTTTCATCCAGCAACCAGCAGCTACTGTTCTTTGACTACTGACTGGCTGCGGCCCAGCCTGTCTGCCCTCACCATGCCTGGCCTTTTCTCCTTTGCTCAGGCCCCGGGTCCAGCCCCTTGAATGAGGTGGTGTCTGAAGCCTTTGTCCGCTTCTTCGTGGAGATAGTGGGCCACTACTCCTTGTTCCTGACTTCGGGCGAGCGCGAGGAGAGGACCCTGCAGCGAGAGGCCTTCCGCAAAGCTGTCTCCTCCAAGAGCCTCCGCCGCTTCCTGGAGGTCTTCATGGAGACCCAGATGTTTCGGGGCTTCATCCAGGAGCGAGAGCTGCGCCGGCAGGATGGCAAGGGTGAGGAGTATCTTCCAGGTTGGGGCCGAGTCAGCTAGAGATGCCCAACCTCCAGGTGGCTGAGTCAGGAGAGTAGTCACAGGGCCAGGGCCTCCCTGAGACCTTGCAGTCATGCCCTGTCTGGACTGATGGAAACAGACCCTCCCCTGCCTTCTCCCCATCCCCTCTACTAGCCTCTCCCAGAACCACATCCCAGTGTTCGTGGCAAGTCTCCTTCTAGTTTATTCTTTCCAACTTGATGGAACTCTCAAGAACATCCTTCCCTTCCTCTCTCTGCCACTCTCTACTTTTCCTCAGGCCTCCTCGCATCCCCTCTGCCCTTCTTTCCTCCCCCCTCCCAGGGTGTGGGACAAGGGCAGGGATAGGCTGAGACAGAGGAGGAGAAGTCTCGAGTGCCCTCCGCCTATGTGAGTCCTGCCCCGCACCTGCCTCCGCAGGGAAGGCTTCAGCAGCAGCCGCCTGACTTGACCTGCAGGGCTGATGCCTCATTTCACCACCAGAGTCCTGCACTCGGTGTCTCCACGTTCTTTTCTCTCCTGCCTCTCCCTATCCTTGTCTGCTTGATTCCATCGTATTTCCAGGGATGGAGGGAGGGAGGGAGAGGCAGGAGAAACAAGAAAAACCATTCCAGTCTCTCTCACATTATGGTAAGCCCTTTGGTAGTCTAAATCCAGACTGTTATTGGAGTTAAACCAGGGAAGGGGAGCATCCTTGGTCATTACGGATAACTGCAGAGCAGGGCAGGTCCAGGGGAGTGCCTGGCCTCCAGTTTGGTAGACTCTGGTGTTATGAATTCACACTGAGATAAGACTCTAAATCCCTGAATCTCCAGAGCTCCTTGTGCAGTAAAGACAAGACAGAAATGCTGCTTCTTCTTTTTTTTTTTTTGAGTTGGAGTCTCACTCGGTCACCCATACTGGAGTGCAGTGGTCGATCCC